CCCCGTGATACTGCGTGATACCGCGACACGCCCACCGGGGTATACCACGAAATACCCCACCCATTTTGAATGGCTGCATCTGTACACTAATGAATTTTTACTAGGTTATTTTTGAGAGCTGTCTGGAAGATGCCAGCAAAGCATGATTAAAATCTATAGGGGTGTTCTGTCTTGCTATCTTAAGCTGACCAGACTGTGGCAGAGAAGATCCTGGCCTACAATCGGGCAAACAGGGCTGTGGCCATTCTCTGCAACCATCAGAGAGCAGCACCAAAGACCTTTGAAAAATCCATGCAGAATATTCAGGAGAAGGTAAATCAACCTCAAGTTCTTTTTCTGTCTATGGTATTGTCATTGAAGTATAGTCAAGACTAGGATGTTACATATATCTGCTCTTCCATAGTCCCGTGACATCTTATGGAATAAAAGCAACACTAATTTAACTAGTATTATGATATATGTGATGCTCTTTACCAGTTGAATGGGAAACATGGCCCTCTATGCTTGCATTGTAGTTGAAAGTCCCAGTGCTCTGGCTAAAATACTTGTAGGTAAATAAAATACAGACTAAATTCTTCAATCCCACAATAGCTGTTTAAAAATTACAGTGCCCTCCAGATTTATTGGCACCCTTGATGAGCAAAAAAGGCTATGAAAAAATGTCTTTGTTGTTTTATCAGCTTGATCTTACACTGAAAATATGAGAGAAATCTAACCTTTCAGTGAGATAAAATTATTCCCCCAAAAAAATCCTTATAAAAAAATAAACATTTTTTTCAAAAACACATGTCACAATGATGGAGCATAAATGTGGTTTTTCAACAGCAGTCTTAGAGGTTGTTGTATATCAAATACTTGGTTTAACATTTTAGTTTTGTAATTCATAAAGAATATTACACAATTTAAATTATTGAATGTAAAATATTCTGTTCTCTCTTAAGGGGCTTTGTAGTGTAGAAAAGGGCTGCCTAAAGATAACAGCTTAGAAATCTGCAGAAAAGGCTTTTTTAGGCTAGCTTGTAACCTCACAGTTTTGTCAGAGATATGAAGGCTCTGAGAGTACCCCCTCATTTGTCAGTTTAAAAATAATTGCATTTATATATCACCATTTATCCCAAAGCTTTATAATATTGGAACTCGCTTCACCACTGATGTGTAGTACCAATTTTGTGCCGACAGCCCCACTGCATAACAGATCCTTTGGAGAAGTGAGAATTTGCTTCTCCAATAAATGAGAACTTTGCATACAGTAGGTCTGAGTGAAATGTAGCCAGGTAACTGGAATAAAAGAAGCCTACTCTTTCAAAAGTTGCCATTGGATCTTTAATGACCTAGTGGTCAAATTATCAGTTTAACATCTCATTCATAGGATTGGCACCCCTTACAGAAAGGTCACGATACTGGGCATTAGGATAGAAATTCTACACCTGCACCATTCATTATAGTTTTACTTTGACTGGCTTTCAGTTCTGCTCAATGGTTGAAAATAGTCATGAAGGAAGAGCTTGCATGCTGCTTGTTTCTTTGAAAGCTAAATGGGAAGCACAGCTGGAGAGCCACATGCACTTTGTGTGCCATTGTTGGGCACCCCTGCTCACGAAAGTTGAAAATAATATAGAAGTGGACATAACTGATGGCCTTTACAGCAGTTAGCATTATTGTGCATTGTTAAATTAAAACTAATTGCAAGCCTTTCCACAATATGGATTTCCCTTTGGGAATGTTTCCGTACAGAAAGAATTATAGAAAAAGTCTATAGTCACTTGGTTGTTTGGAGATGGTCACGATTCCCTTATGCCAGACACAGCATGTGCTACATCTGAACATGTTCCCCGTTTTCTGCAGATTGCACAGAAAGAGCAGCAACTGGAGGATGCAAAGAAGGACCTGAAAAAAGCCCAAGAGGAATACAACAGGGAACCAAGTGATAAACTAAAGAAGTGAGAATGGGCAAACTCTCACACACTCTTACACCCTTTTTTAAGAAGCTTTATTTGTGTTACAGGGTGGTAGAAGGCAAAAAAACTTTCACCAATGGATAAGGAAGAAAATCCCATGAAAGAAGAGATGTTTACACATTATATAGTGGTGTTACTCTTCTGCCTCTATTAGGCTGGTTGAGAAGAAGGAGAAATTAGTGAAGAGGTTGGAGGAGCAGCTCAAGAAGCTGATTCTCCAGGCGACAGACCGAGAGGAGAACAAGCAGATCGCCCTGGGGACGTCCAAACTCAACTACCTCGACCCAAGGATCACTGTGGCCTGGTAACTTGCGAGTTTGTCTTGTGTTGATTGCTTTTCTGTCTGTATCAGCCTTATTTTTTTTTAAATTAGAATGATTACAAACACTGATGCTATTTGGCCTATCTTTATCAAAAAGACATGATAGTTCAGTGTAACCGATATTTCTTGATATTACCGTAATTATAAAACATTTGATTATTCATTATTGGATTTAATTTTGAATTACCTATATTCAATATACAATTTTAATGATTGTATCTTCAGGAACATTTGTTTTCACTTGAAGCAGATAGGCAGCCTTACGTATTTACATTTTAGATTACTTTTAAAAGTAACCTAGGAATTAAAGATTTTCGCTGGAATTAAGCATTTTATGTGATATTCTTTTAGACATCTTTCACATCTTTCACATTCTGTACAATCCACTTAGCTATTTCTTACTACAGTCTCTGTACAGGTGTGTATAATAGTCAATCGTTTGACATGCTTTATAATTATCTAATCAATATAAAATTATAAAATACTTGTGGTTTAATTCTCCTCCTCTCATGTTTTCCACCATCTTCATATTTATAATCTAGTGTAGAATTTAAATAATTTGAATTCTAAATATAAGATTAATTTCGTTTTTTGATTCACGATTTATTGAAAATGACATTTAATTAATTTGTTATTTATCTGTTTACTATGTAATCAATGTTAATGTGGGGCTATTGCAGTGTATGGTTTGCAGTATAATGAACTTTCAAAACAGAAACGTCCAGGGAGTTCATCTGTAAATGCTATCAACTGGTTAAGCACCTTGAGTGAATGATCCATAGGCTTAAGACCCAGATTGTCGATCTCCACTGCAGCACAAATTTAGAAGAGGTGCAGTAACTTGTTGATTCCCTATAAAGAGATTATGTACACACCACAAGCAGCCAGGAGGCTTTAGAACGGTGAGGGAAAGAGAAATTGGTGACCAGAGGTTCACATATACAGGAAAGAAGATGCACATCACACAAGAGCTTGCTTCTGAGCCTTACTGGAAGTTGGTCTGGGCAGTGACGGCCAGCAGGAAAATGGGAGGACTGATGGGACATGCGGGAAAACTGAGCATGATATTAAGGAGCATAACCTGAAATTAGCCAGATGTAAACAGTGATGTGCAACAAGGACCCATTGCTTTTCCTGATCTATATCAACTATTTAATATACTAGCCATATTAGAATAGCAGAAAGGGAATTATAAAAAAGATTTAGACAGGTGCAGATTGGGCAAACACTTGGCAAATTAAATCTATGTAATCTGTAATTTATATAATGCAGAACATACTATATAATATAAAGAAGAACATACACTGTACATTTAATACAAATGATTCAGAGCTGTAGGAAGCTATACACAGATAGATCTAGGTTTTTTCGTGTGGATTCCTGTCCATATCAAGACAGTGCTGTATAGGGAAGCAATAATAAACTAACATATTGGATGCTAAGCAAAACATTCCATTTAAATCCTAGAAAGAGATAGTTAAGATTTACATTGCACTAGTAAGACTTCACACACAATATTGTGTTCAGTTTTGGTCACCATACTGCAATAATGAAAGAGTTCAGAGAAGAATGACAGCAGTGATTCCTGGTCTTGGACGACTGTCCAACATGTTAAGGGAGCTAGATTGCATCAGTCGGGGAAAAAAGAAGATTGAGAAAAGAGATTTGATTCAAGTGTAGCAAAACAAAGACAAAGACCACATATAAACTAAAAGAAAATTCACTTAGCGTGGAAAATAAAACTTGCTCAATAGTTGTGAGCAAGGCTTCTTAGCCAGGTGGTTGAAATCTAAATTCTGGGCATTTCTAAAAAATGTCTGGAGGCAATTTTAGTTTGATTTAGCTACTGAACGTAATGGGCCTAACAGCCTCCTCTCATTTGCATTCTGTCTTACTTTTTCATATGTGTGGTGGCTCTGGCACAGGTCTTTCTATGCTGAAGGACTACAGATTTGAATAAATGTCACCCTTTTATGGACATTAAAGTTATTTTAAATCTAAAACTTTAGAATCTGTCATGCCATTCATTCACATTAATGCAGAATTCGATTGTAAAAGTTAGAAGTGCCACAAGGACTAAAAGTATCATAATAATCAATTAATACAGTTGCGCTAATCACATAGATTTTGCATATTCATGTGGTATTTGTGCTTGTAGATAAAAAAATAATAATTTCTGGTAAATAAATAGCAGTACATTTAAGTTAATACTTCTGTTATTTAATTATTTTTGTTACTTTCCAGAAACATACATTATAGTATTGATGTACTATGAATTCATGTTGCTATTTTCTTATTTTTGTTTTAACAGGTGTAAGAAGTATGGAGTACCAATAGAAAAAGTTTATAACAAAACCCAGAGAGACAAGTTTGCATGGGCAATCGACATGACTGAAGAAGACTATGAGTTCTGAAAATGTACAGACGAATGGATCAACTGGGAAAGGGTTGTGGACTGCATACTTTGTGCTCAAATAGAACTCTAAGAGTAAGCTTTATTTCAGAGATTATTTACTCTGTAAAGTATGCACTTTAAACTTAACTGAGATAGGAGATAGAGGATCCAGTGACTTGTCGGCACAAGACGTTTTCATTCAGTTATTGCAGCTCCCCTGTAACTCGCTGTTCACAATAATAAAATAATCTGTGTAAGGTTTGTTATTCTGTCAACAGTCACAGTTGAGATGCACAGGCCATATATCTTATTTTGTGCTTAATATTTTTAGCTACATTTTTACAGTTTTGCACTGAAATTCTCTTCTCCTTTATTTTGCTTTTTGTCTTTGTCTTTTGGATTTCTTTTGTCTGTCATAAAAATGTGGACCTTAAATAATAGAAGAAAAGGTTTTCTGTATGAGATTTGTTCCCTGTTTTGTGAATTGTGCAGTGAATTTAAAAGAAGAGTGATTGTAGAACCTCAGCATGTTGTCATGCCTTAATAAAGAACAGCACGAAAACTGCAGCCAAACCATTTGAATGCCTTTTAGTGCTTGACTATAGGTGCTCCACAGTGCACACAACTTGCA